ATGTTACTTGGTGTTTGACATTTTCAGTTTTAGACCAGGTGGTAGGGCAATAGTACGTGATTTCCATACAAAAGTAGAAAGTTCAATAGGGCTTGTAAGTCTCTTTGCTTCTCGTACTTAAAATTTGAAATCTCGTTAGCCAGGAAAAGATGAATTCTCAAACAAAAACTATTGTTAACTAGGTTCTCATTGATTGAAGAAACAAAAATGCCGGCAATTTGTTTTTTTGGTTTTAAAGTTTTTAAAATCACAATGTCATCTGGGCTATATTTTTTCTTTAAGGTGGCTTAGCTGGCAAGTGTGATAATGAGAAGTTGGTGACCTACTTACAATCCCTATTCCCGTATGTAAAACACATCAGATTTGTTTTATTTTTATTATTCACCTAGTTAGATCAGGAAACACGGAGCCTAATAGACATTGTGTTGGTCAACTTAAAGTACTACATACATCAGATAAACTCACTTGTAGTCTTGTAGCTATTATTTACTGTTACATCTTAACCAATACTCTACTTTTTTTTTTTAATGTACATCTGAGGTGAATGTTTCAATGACTCGTATACAGAAAGATTCGCAAGATCCGACAAGGCGTGGTCTTAGAAGGTACTGTCAGAAATATAATCGGGTAAAGATAAAATTGTTTTTAGAAATGGAATAACAGTTACGCTAAAACAACAACAATGCAAGATGTTTTTTTAAACAGGTGTCTGGATTTTTTCTTTTTTTTTTCTGTTTTTTTTTTTCTTTTTTTTTTGTGCATTGTGTTCAAAAGTCGTCTGCGGATATACTAAAACAACAAAACAACATCAACGTCCGATGTTTTTTTTTAAACTGGATATAGATTTGTTTTGTTTGGTGCGTTGTGTGCAAGATATAGCTACAGCTATACTAATAATATTTAGCTATATCTACACTAAAACATAACGTCAGATGTTGTTTTGTTTTTTAAACTGGATCTAGATTTCTTTAGTTTGGTGCATTGTTTTCAAGATTTAGCTACAGCTATACTGACAAGATTTAACTACATCTACACTAAAACATCAGCGTCTGATGTTTTTGAAACTGGGTCTAGATTTGTTTAGTTTGGTGCAATTGTGTTCAAGATGTATAATTCTAGGGGGGGGGGTGTTTATGTGCGTTGTGTTTAAAATATATCTGCGGCTACACTAAACCAATATTAATGCCTGAAGTTTTAAAACAGTGGGCTAGATTTGTTTTGTTTGGTGCATTGTGTTCACGATTTAGCTACATCTACATTAAAAAATCTACATCAAATGTTTTTAAAACAGGGGTCTAGATTTGTTTTGTTTGGTGCATTGTTTTCAAGATTTAGCTGCGGTATCTGACAGGTGTGATAAGACAAAAACAGCGACAACAGCAGCGCATGAGTCAGTGCACCAAAACATTTTATCAGCATGTGTGAGCATTCACGCCAGCAGTTGATGTTCCAGACTTCATCATATTTCTGTCTAATATTTCATTTGATTTAAGCATTTTTTTTTTGTAACTCGTTCTGCTGTTATCAAAATACCTGCTTAAAAAAGGCGTAACCTAAGTTATTCTAAAAGCTTAGATGTGGGGGGGGGGGTGTTGTGGGCTAATTTTTAGCCGTTTGTGAGACAAAAACAAAATGGTGGAGATAAAGATTGAAACGTCTGAGTGTTGACAAATGCTGATAACGTGATATAAATAGGATGAGCCGTGGGATCAGCAAGAGAACTTCACATACCACGGCAGTAGAATATAACATCACACAATAACAATATTAAAATCAATTAAAATAAAATGCATAAAATTTCATTAAAAAAAATTAATTAATTGAAACCTAATTAGTGTGTGTGTTTGGGAGGGGGTGGAAAATGGTGAGTAGAATGGCTTATACTGGAAGACACCTCCCAAGTTAGATGAGGTATTCTATTCTGGTGTTAACATGGTAACCATCGCTTTCTTTTGTTTGAGGTAAGTTCTGCTGGAGACGAGGGTATAAAAGGTAGAACTTATCTACGGAAACTTTCACACGACTGTGTACATTGTGTGTTATAGTGAAGTTTACTATGGAGACATCCTAGGTGCTCCACCAAGTGTAAAATGTTTATATTGTCGTGAGTTACATCAGCAGATACCATCTCCAGTATTGATGAAACTAATTAAACTAACTTATATTTGTTATTTTAGTACACTGCCCTTCTTTCTAGCTTCTGAACATGTACAATAAAGTAATCAGTTTCTGTTCTATATCAGTTATAGTGTTTAATGTTTAATTCCAGAAATACGTAGCTAAAATAACAAACCGGGACAGCATTGTCGGGTGGTAGAGCCTTCGTCTTCTAACCTAGACATTTCGAGTTCGGATTCTGGGCGTTAGTTTGCAGGACATCCCTGAATCCAATCAGCTCTGATAGGTACCTGTCTCACGTTAGAGAAACCAGGCTAGGTATAGTGGTCTCTGAAACAGGGAAATTCCACTTCATCTGCCCCATGTGTCTTATGCACGAACGGGAAAAGATGATGATGATGAAAATAACCAACAATTTAAAAACAACAACTCTTTTTAGTTGAAAAGTACTTTATAATTAATTTTACTCATCTAGTTGTATGCACATTATCTACAATAACTTACGTTGATAGTATTTATAGATTTTTGTTTACATAACGTTGATAAAGTTTATAAATAACTTTGTTTACACTTAGTGGATAAAGTTTATAAATAACTTTGTTTATACTTACGTTGATAAAGTTTATAAATAGCTTTGTTTACACTTAAATTCAAATCAGGAGCGCTGTTTTTATGATGCTGATGTTAGGACTGGCCGTACCGTCGCTGTGGCTCGTTTTATCTGAGAGAAGACATGGACTGATAGTGGCTTCATCTGTGGCTGTTGATGTACCACATTAACTCGGGAGTGGGTCTTGGTGGTCTGTGAACTCACGGGAAGGTGGCAGTGGCGTGGCTACCGTAAAGCTAGCGTAAGCAAGGCATAGGGGCCCAAGGGGGGGGGGGGTGCAAATCGAAAGTTTGAGGGGGTAGGGGGGTGTAAATCGAAAGTTTGTCCCCGGTCGTCTACAATCTTGTCAGAGGTGTTGGATAAAAATTATTTTTTAATGAATGATAATGCTTACATTATAAAGTAAAGATTCCTCTATCGATCCATTGGGCAGATGAAGTGGAGTTCATATGTTTCTTGACCTCCGCATATAAAGGGATAATGTGGTCTGCACTATGCCCCTTTACTTTCCCTAGTGTGAGTTTGGTACCCTTCACCACTAACTTGAACCCGGATTCGAAATGGAAACTCTCGGGTTAGCAGTCTAGCGCCCTACCGCTAGGCCACGCCGTCCCATAATGCCTACATTATGCATAAGCCTAAATATCTCCCTTCTCAAAATATTTTGTACCACAATTTCAAGTTTCGAAAACCACTTTATATCAACAACAGAATTTTATTATGTACTGTTACTTAAAGATACAAAATACAAGATTACTGACTCTTTAAAAACACATTAATTCTACTGCACCTAACAAATGAGGTACAATGTATCTGTCGTATTTTGTAAACTGAAGGTAGGACTAAACCTTGTGATGACGTTTAGGTTCCGCGGTTCCAGTTACTCTGTTAAGTAAAAATAATCCGCTCTTTGAGTAGTTGAGTTAAGTCATATTTTTGTGTACAAAACGATTCTCCATTTATTCATTTGTGATGTATTAATGATATTTAGACAAAGAACACATTTTATTTATTTTTTCATTTAAATAATTTGTTAATCATGTTGTTGTTGTTTTTCTGTCTTTGAAAACGTCATTTAAATAATTTAAATCCCCACATTTTTTTAAATGCTAGGGGAGGCTACTCTGTTAATCGAGAACTAAATGCTTTTTCTTGATTATTTCCCTTTGTATAACAAAAGGTAGCACTAGGGCCAGTATACCTTAAGATTTTCTGTTGTTTGAATCTATAATGACATTTCTATTTATACGAGCCGTCCCGCGGCATAACATACGCCGCTATTTAGATGTTGTTTTTTCTACTTTTCAGTAATTCATAATTTGTGAATTCGACAGTACCAATGCTGACACTGAAAATATTTCTTTAAAACACTATAAGTAGCTCGTTAAGGACCATAACCCCCCCCCTTTCCCTACCCCCCCCCCCCCCCCCCCCAACGTTTAAAATCGTTTCAAACTAAATTATCTGCCCCTAATAGCCGTCACTAAACCCGACTCCACGAAGGTAAATATAGCGTGAACCACAGCTCACTAAGACCATGTAGGGGTGGGGATGGTAGGGAGCGCGTTTACAGCTTGTTTTCTAGCGTCTCCCAGAAGAGAGTTATATATATATAGATACATGGTATATACAAGTACTAGGGTCTTTTTTCTACAACATATAATTCTAAACCAAGTAATATTATAATTGTTATTAAAATAAAATAGCTTTGTGAGACATCCTCTCCTTTCCGCAAGCAGCCTATTGACACAAATAACTGGACCTTGGTCAGTCATTTTCTACACGTTTTGACACAAACACTTCTACTCTCAGAGCCAATTAATTTTTTTATTTTATGGATTGGTTGTTTTATGTAATAAAGTACAGTTTTATAGGCATATGTTATTATTTAATAAGTGTGAGTTTCGCGCGTAATGTACTTAAGCCTAATTAAAGGGTTTTTTTTTTTCATATTAATTTTGTTTACAATTTTATTTCTTTGAAAACACTAACAAGAACAATAATGTTTAACTACATCGATGGTTTTAATATGCATGAGATGTAATCATAAAATGTGTAACGACCCATTCCATCACCCGGGGCGTTTATCAACTTTTCACACCTCCTCCTCCCCCCCCTCTTCCATTTGTAGCCCCACCCTCCCAAAATTAAAAAAAAGGTGCGGGGAGCTTTTTACCAATCACTTCCCCTTAACTGTTGTTATTCTGATGTCACAAAGTTAATTTATGAAATAGTTTAATAAACTCATATAGCAAAGTAACAGTCTGTTTCCTTAACTGTGTTTGATTAAGTAATGCAGCTCAAAATTAGATTTTATGTTTTACTATCCTTTGGGCGCCCCCTAAGGTCGGCGCCCAGGTTGGACCCCCCCCCCACCCCTCGCCCTCCCCTAGTTACGCCTATGGTAATGATTTGAGCATAGTGTATAGAGTAGTTTCTCGTTTAGCATCTTGAACCAAAATTAGACCATAAATGAGACCATATCTACAACATAGTATACCAAGTAATTAATTTAAGAAAGACAATGTGTTATTTAAATAAATTAATAATTACATCAATAAACAAACAAGAATAAAATGTTTTAAATTTAGCAACAGACACTACACACATAAACTTGAGCTTGATTTTTAAGTCACCGGTTTTTTTTTAAACTTCATGAAAGAGAACTCCAGCTAATTCTCCCAGGCAGCTCTTAACGGAATTCTGTCCCCTTGTTTAATCGACTCGAACATTTTCATCTGGTCTTTCACCAAAGTATTGATACCCGACAGATCGATTTTCTCGTCAGGGAGTCTCAGGTACCGGCACTTGTTCATGTCCTTCCACAGCCCCATCAACCTCTCCTTGTAGTTGTTCTCTGGGAGGTACGTCGGTGTCTCGTCAAACTCCTCTCCCGCGTTCTTCCTCCTGTGGAACCTCTGCTTCCAATCATCACCCCCATGGGGAGTCAACTCGTGTTTGGATTCGACTCGAGATTTGCTCGAGTGAGGGTCTTCCTCCCCCGGGTAGTAGGTTTGCTGGGAGGGTGGAATTTTCTGGAGAAAATCGTCGACGTTTCGGAGGAAGAGTTGTGTTCTCCTCTGGAGGGAGGCTGATCGAATGTTCTCCTCCTCTAGGAGTTCTTGGCGTCTCTCCTCGAACACGTTCTCTCCCAAGTTACTGGAAGAAACAACAAAATGCACATGAGGGAATAAATCAAACACATCACATACTAAATTAACACAACATAGCACATACTGGAATAACAAAATACACAGCACATATTGAAATAAACAACACCTATCATATACTGAAATAAACACACCATATATCACTTACTGAAATAAACAACACATACCCCAAACTGAAATAACACGCATATAAAATACTGAAATAAAAACAACACGTATCGCATATTGAAATAAAAAGAATACATTTCGCATAGTGAAACAAACACAACACATATAATGAAACAAATACACCTTATATCATATACTGAAATAATACAAGTATTAAATACTGAAACAGGAACAACATATATCACTCTCTGAAGAAAAATACAATACGTATAACAAACAGAATTAAAAACAACACGTATCAAATGCTTAGATTATAACAAACATGAAATAAATACAAATACTGAAACAGGAACAACTCATACCACAACACAGAGTAACTGATTGTAAATTCTTTGTAAATAGCAATAAATTAAATTAAAAGTTACCTATAGAAAAGGGTCTATAAGGTAAACATTAAACTAACCCTATGATATTATTTTAAGGAATTGTTCATTATTGACTTGAAAGTATTCTTACATTTTGATTAAGAAGTAAGTAAGACGACAAGTATTACAACGTAGCTATATATATATATATATATATATATATATATATATATATATATATATATATATATATATATATATATATATATATATATATATATATATTCAAACCTGTTGCTAATCAAGTTATCTCTATAGTTTGGTGAGCTAACCTTACGCACCTGTCTATTGAGTCGTTAGATATATGAGACAACCTCCGACTTTTAGAATACTGGGCTGGGGCCGTGCTGAGCCCTAACCGGGCGTCCTTCTCGGCCGTCGTGTGGCTAGAGAACTGGCTGTGGGCGTGGGGCAGTGCCGACAGCGCCCTGACCGGCAGCAGAACTCGGCCGCCAGACCCCCCGAACCCATCCTCCAACATCGTAACGTTCCTCTTCATTTTCGGACTGGTGGCATCTTTTTCTGTTCTGACCCCGCTCTTCCCTGTTCCCTCTGCTGTTCCCTGTGTTGTTCCTGTTCCCTGTGTTGTTCCTGTTCCCAGTGTTGTTCCTGTTCCCTGTGTTGTTCCTGTTCCCTGGGGAACCCAGTTTAATCGTGTTCCTGTAGCTCCCTGTATAACCGACGCTGATCCTGGTCGTACGGGTTTATCATTGTCTAACGGAACGTCTATAAACACACCTGTTACAGAGTTACTTCGCTTTACGGGGTCAAAGTTCAATTTATTCGTTTTGACCTTGACCTCTGGGTCACCTTGAAGTGTTATCCGCGGGAGGGCGCTGCGGACGGTTCTTCTGCCGGAGTGTTTGGGTGTGTTCAGGTTGAGTCTGCGTGCCGCGGCGGCGATTTTGAGCGCGCTGCCGAGAGAGACGTCGCCATAGGAGGGCTTGAGTCTGCCCTGCTGATCCAACTCGCGGAACTTGCTGATGTCTTCAGCGGGCAGGTAGGACTTGATCTTGGACACTTTCTCTTTTAGTTTTTTGTACTTCACCTGCAATAAAAAGTGAAACTGTTAGTTTTCAAATTTTATTTTCGTGTTATGATATCAAACATAGTTTTACAACCACAGTTAGAACTATTTTTAATTAATAAAAAAATCAAAAGGCTATAATGTGCATGTAATGTTAAAGTGATAGTTTCTATCGTAATGACCTTGTGTTATTTGCATAGTCATCGATGTCCAGCAACATTATTGACTAGTTTTCTTTGCATTCATTTTGGCGTAGTTATCCCAACTTACCTAGTTCCAATGTAAGCATAGCCCACAGCTGACCTTGGTTTCATCTCACCTTGCCCTACTTTACCTTGCCGCATATCATCTTTCCCCACCTGACCTTAACACCTAACCTCACCCTTCCTCCATCTTACCTTACCCCCACCCGTCCCACGTCAACTAGCCCCCACCTTACACTGACCCATCTTACCTTATCCCCATCTTTGCCTTGTCTCCACCTTACTTTACCCCCCCCCCCCCCCCCGCACCACCTCACCTTGACTCCACCCTGTCCCCACTATAACCCTCCCCCTATATTACCAGGCCTCCACCTTACATTCCCCCTACAACCTATAACACGTCACCTAGCCCCCACCTAACACTGACCCCACCCTGTCCCGATCTTTCCTTGCCCCACCCTCTCCTTACCTGCCCAGCTCTCACCTTACCTTAACCCCCCTCTTTGCCCGCCCTACGTCACCTTACCCCCCACCTAACACTGACCCCACTTTACCTTGTCCCCATCTCTCCTTGCCCCACCCCCTCCTTATCTGGCCTCACCTTACCTTAACCCCCCCCCCCATCTCACCTATTTTCTCCCCCCCCCCCCCCAGCCTACCTTGAGAACCCTGTTGTCTAACTCCAAGAGCCGGATGGCGTAGCTCTGCTCCAGCTCTAGGGTCTGCAGCGACTTCTCCAGCACCCGCTGCTCCTTCATGTTGGACATGACGGCCGACACCTGCTTGTCACGGAACACACGCCCGCCATTGTCCGTTGCCATGGTTACCGCCAGCGGCTGTTGGGCGAACCGGCAAAGTTACAAATCAAGCGCTAGTCAAATAATGCTCGACTTCAAAACAGAACCACAATCACAAAACAAAGATAAAATTTGCATAATTGATATGGGCGTGGTACTAATTGAAAGCGACTAAGCATGAAACTGATTACCCTATCCCACATAAGAAGAGATAAGAGAATCAATGGATATCTAATCAATCTGCATTATTTTTTTTTAAATTCAATTTTTTACTTTCTCGTATATACGAAGTATACAGAAAGTCTTGTAATCGTGCAAAAAAAATAATCGAGATTTTTACAAATCTCGACGTTTTACACCTCACTGATACGGAAAAACATAATTTTGCAATCTTGTTCGTATGTCTGTGTGTGTGTAAACACGATAACTTGAGTACCGCTACAACTATGTTGATGACATTTCACATATAAGTATTTTATCAAAGTCGTAGATCAGTATCAACTTTTGAGCGATTTCCGATAACCGGAAGTGGTACTTTTTTACTTTGAATTTTTCAAAAGCCTATAACTTGAGTACTATTTCAGATAGATAAATAACATTTCACATGTAAGTAAATTATCTAATTCTCTACCTTCTATCAAAATTTGAGTAATTTCCGTTGACCAAAAGTATTAATTTACGCTATTTCCAATTTCTCAAAAAACGCATGTAAATTTATAAAGTACTAATAATATTGCGCACTATTATGCCCATCTTTATTTGGCGTTCACTTGATGTGCAATTCTTTTTCCACGAGATTTTATTCTATTTTAAAAAGTTTAAGTATTTAAAATGGATTAAAAATCATGTCTATATCCCGAGTTCCCATCCCCTGTTGTTTTATATAAGAATATTCGAGAAAGTTTAGGTGAGATCACTCCCGGTTTATTAGTTTATAATTTATAAATACCAACATGTAGAGAGCAAGATGTATGCCTATAAAAGGTAATGAAATAAAAAGCCCAAAAATGCACTAAAATAAGAAAATAAATGCAAATCAAATTTTATTCAGCTATAATTAAAAACAACAGGCGTTGGTTTCTAAAAAATGTGCCAGCAACTGTTATAGTTTAAACATTGTTATAATTTTTTTTTTAAAAATAGGACATTTCGTTAAAGCAATGTATTAAAAACCGTGCTATTAAAAAGTGTTTATACCTGTTGTATTAAAGTTGAAAAACACAGTCTATTTAATAAAATTTTCCTTCCATAATACAGGCTGTACACAATATTATATACTAATCCATGTAATCTTAGCGCGTGAATCATAAATCCGACATAAAACACATGTAATGCTACCTGTAACACTATAGCCCCTAAATCTCCAATATTTGCTGAACGTCTTCTACTTTCACAAGACCATAAAATCTTCTGTTAATGTCGCCATTATGTAGGCAACATCGCACGGGAAATGTGAAGTGCCCATTAGGACCAACATTGTACTGTACTTAAATCAAGTCTCTCCTCAAACATTCTGTAATCCATTTATTAGAATTAAATATTTCTCAGAGAGCTTATATAATCCATTAAATAAACTAATCCAATTGAATATGTTTTCTCATGTAACCCAAAACCGCGTCTTAACTTCCTACCCATACAGTATTGATTAGAAAATCCCTGACGTCACATTTTTTTGAAAAAAAAAATGAAACTACTAGTAAACCGACCGTGGGTAAACGGGTACATTGAACGCCTTCAAATAATATGTTCAGAATACATCAAACGTTTCCTTTCAACAAGTCGTACATGTTTATTTTTTATTAATACCTATTGAACAAGTCTCTAATTTCACTTTTTATTTATATGGAAGTTACTTCCCCTCTTACGCAACTCAACCCCCCTCCCCCCATACACATAGAAACGCCATTTTCGTCATGCGGTAAAAAAAAAAGTCAACGTAATAATAAAAAAAAATGCACTTCCTGTATTCATAAATAGAATTAAAGAAGAATCAACCAGCTCATTGAATCACATTCCAACATCCGGTTTATAGAAACAGTATAATAATCAACACATTCCATTTTATTCACACATCATACAACTGTGATTGTACGCTCAACAAAGGTTGTAATTATATCACCAGAATCAATGATATACATATCAAAATAATTTTTTCAATCAGGTGGTGTCTGCCCCACGAATATTGATCGGTGTTATGCTATCGGAGAGTTCAATTGGGTCCCGATCACCACATGGGGTCTGATAGCAATCGAGAAACGGAAAATAAAAAAATGGATTTTGTTTTGTTTTTAATTTTGTAAGGGTGTATAGTTTATAAACAGTAGAGGAGGGAGGGGGAGTGTGTTGGGTGTATGTGTGTACATGCCTGAGTCGTAAGTGTGTTGTATGAATGTGTTATGTATGTGTTGTTTACTTATTGTGGGTAGAATTGTGAGTGTGTGCGTGTTTCTATGTGTGTTACGCGTGTGCTGACACGTGTGCTTTTTAAAAGTGCATTCTGCATGTATGCTTTGTGTTCATATAAGTGTTGTACGTATGTAGGATGCGTGTGTGTGTGATTGTGTTTGAGAGTATGTGTGTTTGTATGTGATTTATTAAGTGGTCATATTTAGCGACTATGTAGTTGTTATAGGCTATTTGAATGCGGAGGCTATGTACTTGTATGCTTTTGAGTGAATGAATTAAATATGTCTTTATTTTTTAGCACCTAGCATAAGTGTGTTATATAAATTACAAAAGAAATTAGTAGGAAAATGTAAAGTACATATGATTGACTACACAAAGTATTTAAAAAAAACGCATCTATTTCAAAAATAAAAATAACTTACAATGCATTCAAAAGACTAATTAAATATGTAACCTTTTTACTTGCTTGGTATTACTTGTGTTTTTTTTTTACTTTTTAACCGCAAAAATTTGGATAGTAGGTCAAAATACAACAATGTCAGTATATAGCATCAGACTAATAATTTTTATTACCGCTCGTAAATTACACGTACAAGAATACAATCATTGACAAGTCACTCAAGATTGATTGCTAGACACGACATACAACAACATACAAACATTGCAATGTAAACTGTTAATGTTATTGTTGTTACGTAACCAAGCACACCGACATAACAACATGGCCTAGCTAATGTTATTGTTATCAAATAACCCAACACACCAACACACCACCATTACAACTATGTGTTGCTAATGTTATTGTTATTATTTAACTAAAAATACCAACACACCATCATTACAACTAGAGACAGCTAACTTTATTTTTTATATTGTTATTAAATAACCCAACCCACCAACACACCAACATTATAACTACACACCTAACGTTAATGTTATCACGCCAATTGTTATCAAGCCCAGACTTGCCCCCAATCCCCCTAGCAACGAGTGTTTGACCCGGGTAACTAGCGCTACTACAGCTCTGCGACACAGATCGCGGACTACCCAGGTAAAAGAGCAATGAATGTGTCAGCTGAAGGAGATAATAGTTGTTGAATTGTGTTGGTGTGACTTGTTATGGTACAGTACGACTGAGGGTGGGGGTGGGAGGGGGGATGACGCAAGGGAAATGACTAGTGATAAATGGCTAGCATATTTCAGTGAGGTGATTTATTTTATTGTAGTTTGGTAGCCCATGGAAACATAACTCTGAGAGATAAGAAATTAAGGTTAATGTAATGTGTCTAAAACAGTGTGGTGGCAATTAGAAAAACTGTTTGGCGACACATTATGAAGCTATACTCTAGTGACGCTTGAAAGAAAACGATGAAACACATGAAAATTTTGTTGTAATAAGCCTACTTATGGGAATCAATTAGTTGGTAAAACACGACAAAAAAAAAACTCGAACATATTTAAAACCATATAGTTAGCACAACGGAACAATAAAGAAGGCCAATACAGAGACGTAGCAATGGGGGGGGGGGGCACATATGTCCCCGGGCGCCGACCTTAGGGGGCGCCAAAATGGGTTGTAAAAACAAATTAAAATGTCATTTTAGCTGCATTTTTGCAGTTTGAGTTGGGGGGGGGGGGTGCAAATCGAAAGTTTGAGGGGTGAGGGTGCTAATTGAAAATTTGCTTCCGAGGAGGGCGCCAAATTGAAAGTTTGTCCCCGGGCGCCAGGAAGGGTCGCTACGACTCTGGGCCAATACAAGAGGAAGATCGAACACGCAGTTTAAAAATTATTTCTTTATTAATGGGAAGTCCTTGACAACTTGATAGCATAAGAGCTTCGTTATCGATTGTGTGTTTACGTTTCTTGAAATATCATTAATTATGGGCAAATATGGCTGTCGGGACTGCTGTGAAATACTACTTAATTCAAGCGACCAAACATGCCACTACAGCTAAAGTTGTCGCCAAACAAAAACATTCGGTGGTAGAACACACCCACACCTCGCGTCAACCTTACTGAACGACAGCAACTTAATCTATTTCACAACGGACAAACTTCTTATCTAACGTTCGAGTTGATGTGTTGGTCTGTTTGACTGAAGCAGAAATACAGGCGTTATTTATAAGAAGAAACGTTAAAATTTAGATTTATCAAAGTGGGACCTTCTAACTTGAGCTAAAAGACCTTGAATTTCGTTATCGTAGGTGGCAGTTATATTTTAGGTATCCAACCCCCCCCCCTTCCCCTTCACCGCCCACACATATACGCGTTACATATACACATATTATCTGTCTATACTCGGCAGTAAACAATAAATACTGTTATGAAATATAAATTTCTAAAACCACAAAACAAATTCTTTATAAATTCTCTAAGAAAATGAAACAGAAATATTGTATAGCACATCAACAACCAAACTAAAGAAAAAAAAATAAACATAATGTAAACAAGTAGGCCGAAAGCCTTGGCAGAGGCGTAGCGACCCTTCCCGGCGCCCGGGGACAAACTTTCGATTTGCACCTCCCCTCGAACTTTTCATTTGCACCCCCCCCCCTCAAACTTTCAATTTGGCGCCCCCCCCTAAGGTCGGCACCCGGGGACATATGTCCCCCCACACCCCCCACCCTCGCTACGCCTCTGAGCCTTGGTGTAAAACAGTTGAATTATTTTCTACGTATTTTACTAATGACAACAATGACAACAATAAGAAGTTTAAATGAAACCTAAATATGTAGGCCTGGTTTCTATAAAATTCTAACCTAATTTTACGATTTTGAAGTCAACAAAATACTAGCAGACAACATTGACTACTGTGTTTCCGTATTGTGGGACTTTTCATAATATTTTGCCTTACAAAACCTGCCGTTTTAAGTCCAGATTCTTTTCACCATATAAACAAAGAGCTCAACATGTGAACACTTTGATCTTTAACAAAAATTCTCTGAGACCTTCATTCATTCGATCTAACCGGCTTCACCCAAGGCATATGTTAATTTTAAATTATTGAAAATCGATACTTTTCTTCATCGATCGGTATAGGAATTCTTTTAATCTTATTACCATCTATCAAGGTAATTAATTACCTCCATAGTACTCTGTATTTATAAGTACAACACTGCATCAAATCGCGGGGCATTTTCCTGTCAAGTAATTAATATAAACGTTTTTAGTAATACCTAGATCTAGTTACAACTAGACTAGTATTGGATTAAAATTCGAGTTTGGGATATCATAAAATCTACTTCCGTTTTTTTTTGTTCGTTTTTTTTTTCTATCTAAGCACGAAAATACAAAGACTGTTTACATCATTAGCAGGCCTATAGTACAACACATCATATAGGCCTTTTTTTGACAACAGTAACAGCTATAAATAAGTGTCTTTTTTCCTCCAAACTACAACTATGAACTTACCCATGATGAAAGTTGATATTAACAAAAGTATATCACCAAGACTTGACATGAATACCACTAAACAAAAGTATATCACCAAGAACTGACATAAATGACACTGCGGCGTTTAAGGAAGGACCGCGGCGGTCTCCGACGATCCCAGGGTGTCTGATAACAGAAGAACCACGGGCACGTTTCGGCCTACCTTTCTCTACCTTTCTTGACAAGTCACGGCAGCTCAGGTAAATATTGACAGCGGGAAGGTGTAGAGGGGGGGGGGGTTGGAGTGGTGGGGGTGGTCACACGTTTCACCGGGTTGTATTACGGGTGAATTTCACCTCGTTTTAAACTTAACGTTATTTATATTTGTTTAATATAGAAATTTAATTGTTTCACTTTTATTTAGTGTTTGAGTTGTTTTAAACTTATTTTTGTTTACTTGTAGTATGTCAAGATAAGTTGTTTTTTTAACTGTTACTTCAGATATGTTACTATCAAGATAAGTTAAACTTACTTTAGATACTTACACTTCCCCAAACTGTTTTTTTTTAAACATTTGTAATTGCTTGTATTCTGTCGAGTTTTTTTTTTTAAACAAGCACGACACGAAAAAAAATGCTGCTTGTAATAGCATTACATTAACTACATCTGCTGTGGGGGAGATCGTTACTGCAGGTTTTTTTTAAGATCCTGGTGTTGGGGCGATTAAAATTCCGATAAGATTTATGTCACGGTTTTTTTTTTTTTTTTTTTTTTTTTTTTTTTTTTTTTTTTTTTTTGCTGTTGCAGCTTTAGACTAACAAGGAAGAATTTATCTTTTAGAGTTAGGTTAATGGTATGATAACAAACGGCTAGGGTTAGGCTGAGATTTATGGTTAGCGTGTCGATACGTGGGTACAATGGTTCCTACTCAGCTATCAATAGGCGTCAGGTACCGTGCAAATAAGTTACCGAAAAGTAAAACGGAACGGAATAACATTTAAAAATGCTATGCAACTCCATATTATAAAAGACAAAACTAACCAGTATATATATATATATATATATATATATATATATATATATATATATTATATATATATATATAAATTAATTTACTTTGCATATAACTTGATATAACTGACTCCCCAAATTAAGAAATATGAAAGCAGGGGTTTCAATAACGATCATGAAAATCTTTGAGCTTTTCTGTAGATTCACTGTTACTTTAAGGTGTTGAAATTAGAACTTTGTTACCTGATATAATAGGGGGTGGGGGTATGTATTTTTGGAAAAGGAAGTCAATGCCCCCCCTCCCCTCCCAAACCCTGAGCAAGCCATATAATTTATATAGTAAATATATAATGTTAACCAGTGTCCGCCTCTACCAAATTTTGAGTGCCCCCCCCCCCCACCTTCCCCCTTCCACTCTCTCTTATGAGAAAAAGCCTGAAAAAAACCCTGATGAAGATGTGTGATGATCTAAGGATGAGCGTTCATAGTCGGCTAATATTGTGTGACTCAATTTAATAAAGACCCCCTCCCACCCTAGTAAACAGACATACACACTATCTATGGAGGAGGGGAGGCGTTGTAGAGTATGGGGAACTATTCACAAATTTAACAAACAAAGTTGTCGTCCTTCGCTAAGGTAAATCAAGACCGGTAACTCTCCATTCACAGCCGCTGAAATGGACGAAAGCCCGTATTGAAACTTACCCCCTGTACGTCTATGCGCTTTTGTGTGTATAATAAACTCACTAACAAGTAGCATTACCGGATAAAATACAACTTCATCAAAGGACTTTACAATTTCAAACAGAATCGCAGAGGTTTTTATTAACAGTGTGTGACTTATACTTCAAAGCGGTTTATATGTTGTATGTCAGGGCTCCCGGAGTGTATGTGAGTGTTACATACGTTTTAATGACAGGGTGGTGGTGGTGTGTGTCGGGATTAACGGGTGGGTGAAGTGCTTCGATTGAAGAGGGTGGGATTATAACCCATTAGCGTAATTAAGCCTTGGGGAATGCGGTGTAGATTAGGTAGATTAAAATCCCGGGCGGTATAGATCCGTTTGAACAGTTTTAGTGTTATCGACTAATACCTGCTGTTTGATGAAATCAATACAAATTTAATAAAAGCGTATTGTTTTTATGTTAGGTTTTAATGAAGGATTGACGGTTTTTATTCAGGCAATATTTATACCATACTGCAGTTAATACGGCGCCTATTGCAGCAGAAATATGTATAACAATATTTGAAAGGTAAACTAGAAGATTATCGAAGTTCTTAAACAGAATAATAGAATATAGCAGTATATTCAGTGATATATAATCAAACATATATAAGTTGAAGCATGCATTCTTAACAATGCTGGTACGAACAGCCATACAACAATAGCCATTTAGTCACATTGATTGAACCATAACAACTTAACTACAATCACAAAGCAATAAATTGGTAACCATAGCTGCTTGAAAATAGCTAATTAACCCCTAGTCTATAAACAATAGTCACTTTAACATAACCAATAAACCGTAGCACTTAAACAAATAGTCGTCAGAACAGCCTTCAGACCACACAAACAGCTGCAACACACAAAAAACACAAAACACACACAAACACACCATCCACCAAATAAAACAAACTTTCTATTAAACCACAGCCTTAAACAAACGTCAACCCTCTACCAAACACACCCCTATCAAACCACACCCTGTACAAAACACACCTTCTAAAAACCGCACCCTCTACCACGCTCTGTTATTAAACCACACCTACTACAAACACAAACTCTACCAAAAGCACCCTCTACCAAACACACCTTCTAACAAAACACACCCTCTACCAAACACACCCTCTACCAAACACACCTTCTACCAACACACCCTCTACCAAACACACCTTCTAACAAACACACCTTCTACCAACACATCCTCTACCAAAACACCCTCTACCAACACACCTTCTACCAACACACCTTCTACCAACACACCCTCTACCAACACACCTTCTACCAACACACACCCTCTACCAACACACCCTATACCAACACACCTTCTACCAACACACCCTCTACCAAACACGCCTTCTACCGTACACACGTTTTACCAAACACACGTTTTACCAAACACACGTTTTACCAAACACACCTTTTACCAAACACACCTTTTACCAAATACACCTTTTACCAAACACACCCTCTACCAAACACACCCTCTACCAAACACACCTTTTACCAAATACACCTTTTACCAAACACACCCTCTACCAAACACACCCTCTACCAACACACCCTTTATATCCTCGTCAGTCCCACCCGCCCCCTCTTGACGTAAATGATTTCATTAGTCCCGCCTCCACCCAATCTTCTATTGTTTCTTAATCCCACATTACAAACATCCATAAACACTGTGGTACAAGTGGGGGCCCTTTA